CCGGTGCGCGGCCTCCCTCGCAGGTGGGGCCTGTTCCTGCTGCTTTGCTCCCCCACACCTCCGCTGAAATGAATGACACCCCAAAGTAGAACAAGCCAGCAGACACACAGTGATTGGGGCAAAGTACATCAGAGATGGGAAGCGCACCCCACCCAGCCTGGCCCAAGAGGTCGCCTCAGTGACACCCGGGGAAGCCCCGGGACAGGCAGCTGGCTGCTGCCCAAGCATCGCCAGGCAGAGGACACCCTGGGGAGGACACCCTGGCATGAGAGCGCAGTGCCGTGGCAGTGCAGAAAGGCCTGGCTTCCGCCCACCTGGCTAGAACCGCGGGGGTGGGGTGGAGGTGGGCCCTTGAGCCCGGTTCTTCCTCTTCCTTTCACAAGCCAAGCCTGCACCCCATGCCTGCAGGTGGGGACACAGTGGGGAACAGACCTACCCGCCCCTGACCTGGGGGGGAGGGGCTTACCACCGGCCCCTTTGACAGGGGTGAGCAGAACCAGTGTTTCCATTTTTTCCAAAACTCAGTGGCTGGGAAACATCTTTGGGGTAAATAGTCAAGTGAGGCCCAGAAAGGAGCGCATGCTAGAGTCCCTCAGCATGAAGACGCGAGGCGGGCAGAGGCGCCCGCACAGGTGACGGGCACACCTGGGAGGCGAAGCGGGAGCACTACGCGGGCCCAAGAACAGCGCACAGGGAACAGCCTCCAAACAGCCCGGGGTCCCACCCTCCCGGGCTCCGGCACCGCAGACACTGACCAAAGTGCCCTGGCTGCTCCCAACATGTGCTGGGGGGCAGGGGGTGGGGTGGGCAGAAGGCCATGGCCACCACCACCGAGCACCTGCAACGCGTGAGCCCCGATGCTGGGTGTGGGGAGAATACCCCCCTGACGTCACGCTGAAGAGGCTATATTTCGGGTTAAACAAACCATCAAGTGCGTCTCACGTGCTCTGCGGGGCTGCTGGGAGAGCTGAAGCCCTCTCGTGGCTCGGGCTGTTCCCACTGGCCGGCGTGCCGGGCTGAGAAGCCCCAAGCAGCGATGCTGGTTAATGTTTACAAGACTCCGGCTGCTCGGGGTGCGGGGCGCATGTGCCGCTGACCCGGGGAACTGGACAACTGTCTCCATGGTTTGTCCCACAGGAACCCCCCAACTTAGGGTGCAGCCCCTCTGCCTGCCCCCACCTGGCCTTGAGCATGGCCCTCTCCCTAGATCGCCAGCGGCCTGCTCTGGGGCTGGATTTCTATGTCCCCCAGGGGACGCAGAGTTGAGAAGAGCAAAGGAGAAAGCAAGCCTGGACTTAGCCTTTCGGACTCTCCTCCCAGCTGGGTCCACAGGACGTGCCCCGAAGACGGGCCTGCTTTTTGGAGGGCGGTCAGAAACAGCCTCCCACTTGAAAGCTGCTGGGGCAGGGCAGGGAGGCAGCAGTGGGCACCGCACCAGTCTTGCATTCTGGGCAAACGTGCTGTAACAAATCACCCCCAACTCAATGGCATAAAGCTGGATCGAAGTGTCCAGCTCACAGTACTGGAGGTTAGAAGTCCAAAATAGGGCCTCCCTGGTGCTGCAAGGGGTTAAGCACCGCACTATGAAGCAATCCGCAGCCTCTGCTGCACGAGTTCCATCCCCGGGCGGCCAGGGAGATACCCACATGGCAAGGCAGACCTCTCCTGTCTCCCCTGCTGCTCCCCTCAGCAGTGTATTTCAGTAGCTCTGCCTGTTCTGTTCCCCACTCTGTCTCTGGTGAATCCTCTCACCCCCCACATCTCTGGCCTGTACCCCAGCTCTTGTATGCATAAATAAATCTTAAAAAAAAAAGTCCAAAATGGGTCTGACGGGTCAAAGTCAATGCGTGGGCAGGCCCGTTTCTCTCTGGAGGCCCTATGGGAGAGCCCTTTCCCGCACCTTTCCAGCTCCTCAGGGGCGGCCCCCTCATGGTCAGGGCCAGCAGAGGTCAGAGGAGTTTTCCTCACAAGGCATCTCTGACCACCTCACCTTCCACAGCTAAAGGCCCTGTGCTCACATTGGACTCACCTGTGTAACCCAGGCTCGGTGCCCTATTTTAGGATCAGCTGATTAGCATTCTCCTAAATATTGTTAACATTCACGGGTTCCAGGAACTAGGACGCCAACATCTTTGAGGGGCCATTACTCAGCCTTCCTCTCTACACCTCCAAAACAGTCCTACCTATGAGCTGGATGGCACGATCTCTGTTTTTGCAGACAACTCTATTTTTTTCGGAGTTAAACCACTTGCGGCGGGACCCAGGCCAGAACCTGGTCTGTCCCTACAAAGTCTTCATGAGGCCACACCGTCTTTTTAAAGGTACAGGCAGTTACGGGTGGGTGGGTGGGTTCACGGGCAGGTTCTGCATCCTGGAGTCAGGATATTACCACAATAAAAGGTCAATACTGGGCCTCCCCGGTGGCGCAGCAGCCGGTTGAGCACTGGGTTGTGAAGCTGCCCGCAGCCTCTGCAGCACCGGTTCGATCCCCGGCCACTGGGTGAGGGTCCCAATTGGTGCGCAGACCTCGCCTGTCGCCCGCTGCTCCCCCCAGCAGTGTATTTTGTCACTCTGCCTGTTCTGCTCTCCACTCTGGCTCTGGTGAATCCTCTCACCCTCCTGCGCTTGACTGTACCCAGTGCTTGTATAAATAAATAAATAAATCTTTCTTTTTTAAAAAGTCACTACTACTTTATCACCATTTTGAATACGGATCTTACCACCAAAGGGACTAAAGTGACAGGGACGAAGAGACCAGCTGTCTGAAGCCCTGCTCCCTCCGCCGCCCCCCCCCCCCAGCTGTCACAAGTACCAGCCACCCCAGGCAGGAAGCGAGACTGCCCTCAATACTCCTGGTTGTAGGGAGGAGGGAGACCTTTGCAAAACAGGGTGTGGCCTGTCAAGAAAGCTAACAGGGAAGCATTTTTCCTGCTCCTGACTCAGGAGCCCAAGAGCAAAGGCAGGGCTGGCGGGATTTCGATTCTATGCCAGCCAGAGCATGGCTGAGCACCCCGGCAAGCACGGAGGCAGCGTATCCCAAAGCTGCCAGCAGTATCCCAAAGCTGCCAGTGTGCAGGCACTCGACGCACTCTTTTCCGTCCAGGAGACATGCAAGCAGCAGCCTCAGCTCCTGCGTCCTTTCCACTAACCGGGCCTGGCCAGCAGCTCACTGGATATTTCTGGGAGTGAGCTAATTAAATATTAATCATGCACAGCCTTATTCCGACTTCCCTCAATAAGTCACGCTGAAGACAAGCAAACCCAGACAGTGGAAGAAAACTTCATCTTTCCGGAAGAAAGGGCCCCCGAATGGGTAAATCCTATGAGGCTCACGCCTTAGAAAGTTATTCCCGTAACCCTCACGTAACCCTCTCAGTCCCTGAGAAAAACCCAGCAGGCAAAAACCAAAACAAAGCCTTCTTATTGACCAGAGCAATCACCAAAACGTGTGGTCCTCTCTCAGCCTTTCTTTGACATTCAAGAAAGTTGCCCTTCACTTGTAACAACTTGAGAGCAAGGTCAAAGAACCTGCCCTTTAAACTCCATCTCCTCCGTACAGCAATCAGACCTCTTTAGACCTCCTCCAAAGCACAGGGAGGAAAAAATCTAAAAGTCAGAGAATTAAAAAAGCTTCTGACAACACCCAGGCTCTCTCTGATGATTAAATTTTCCTCCCCATCCTTCCGCAGGTTCCTGGCACAATTAATTACATATTAATGGCTCTGCATGTCACATCCGCTTTCACGGAGGGTTAGCCAGGTGGAACCGCTCCGCTCCGTTGCCAGGTGATGGTGACGGTGCCGACCACAAGGATACCCTGGCAGCCAGGCGAGTACCAGCACCTGCCTTTCATTAACGCCTTGATGTCCCCGGGTTTTATCAGTGTTTTCCACTGTTAGTCACCGGCACAAAGGTCAGACAATCCCCTGCGTTTTCCCTTATTTCAAAATGAAAGTTGTGCACTGCGTGTGCTAACTTGATGAGCAGCCACCACAGAAGTCACTGCTCTCTGCATGGAGAGCTGCTACGGCAGCCACAAAGGTCCCCATCCGGCTCCAGCCTGGGGAGGGAGGGGGCCTCGCCGGCCCGTTCCCAAGTAAAATTTTTCTGCTCTTTCATTCCAGGTTGACCAGTTTTGGCGAATACACGCGTCTGCGCTCCCCTCCCCCTGCCTAGGCGCGCCTCAGTGCTCCTCAGATAAAAGGGAACAGAAACGCAGCCGCGCGGCCCGGTGCTGCCCGGCAGGGCGCTCGCACCAGACACCCCGCGCCACGACCGAATTTTGAAAATGAGCCTCCCCCACAGGCCACCCCTGCGGGAGACGCCGGCGCGTGGGCCGTGCGGGGGGGGAGCCCCAGGAAGTTTCTGTCTGTCGGGCGCGGGTATTTAATAAGGGGGTGTGCGCCGCCTCCTATGTGGGCCAGAGCCGGGGCAAACAAGTCTGGCTACATACGTGGAACTTCGCGCCCGGCAGATAATAAGGTATTGTGCGGCCGTGGAAAACAGCTCGGAGAAAAGGAAACGGGGAGTTTCCTTGAGGAAAGCGCACGGCTTCCCCGCCGTGGGCGCCGCGGGCGGGTCCAGCGAGGGCCGGCGGCGGGCAGGGGTGACCCGGCCTCGCGCGCACCTGGACGCCGCCCGGCCCCGCCGCCCCGGCCCCCGAGCGCCCCCGGCCCGCGGCCTCCCTCCAGCGGGGTCGCCCCCCGGGCCCCCGGCCCCCTCGGCGCCCCCACACCCGGGCCCCCGGCCACCTGGCGCCCCCACACCTGGCTCCCCGGCCCCTCGGCCCCTCGGCCCGGGCGCGCTTCCGGTTCACCTGCGCGCCGCGCGCTCGGCCGGCGGAGGCCCGGAGCCAGGCGGCGGGGCGCGGGGGGCTGGGGCGCGAGCGGGGTGCGGGGCGCCGCGGCCCCGGGCGCCCGGGGGGCGGGGGCGGCGGGGCCGGGGGGAACGCGGGGGGCCGGGGAGAGGACGCCGCCCGCCGCCCGCCGCCCGCCGCTCGCCTGGGTCTTGTCGAACTGCTCGCGCTCGGCCTCCAGGCTGTGGCCCGGCCTGCGGCTCAGCACCCGCGCCGGCACGTTCTTGATGCTGTTCATCCTGCGCCGCCGCCGCGCTCCCGCCCGCTCGCGCGACTGAGCGCGTCACCGCGCCGCCCGAGCCTAGGCACCGCGAGGCCGCCCGCGCCGCGCCGCGCCGCCCCGCCCGCCGCGGGGGAGGAGCCCGCGCCGCCCCGCCCCCGGAGGCCCCGCCCCTCGCCGGGAGGCCCCGCCCCTCGCCGGGAGGCCCCGCCCCGACCCGACCCTCCACACCGCCACCCAGCCCCGGGACCCAGCCCGGGACCGGCCCCTCCTCCCTTCTCCAGAACGGTGGGGCGGGTCAGCACCGGCTCCCTCCCAGCCACCGCACCCCTCATCCCCCTCCGCCTCCCTTTAAACCCTGTCTACACCAGGCCGGGATCTGGTTAATTGCAATAAACTGAACCTCAGTGAATCTGACCAATGGGAGCACAACTAGACCTTTCTTTCCTTTTTAGTCATATTAACTTACGTGTCAAAATGCATACAATTACGTCGGTCCCTCTTCGTGCATCTCTAACGTAACTGCAGCTGCTAATCACCTGTGGATGGATTTTCAGAGACTGCAGGCTCCTTGCCAGAGCAGAGGAAGAGTTGGGGGGACCAGGAGAGGCAGGGCTGGGACAGCCTGCAGACAGATCTGGGCAAAACAGGGTGCTGGGTCTTCAAGGTGCATCAAAAATGCCACAGGAGGTGGTGTGAGACTTTATTATATATATTTTTTACATCATTTTTCATTTTTGCACAATGTATGCATTTTCATCTTTTTTATAGTCCCCACACAATTCCCACCCCAACCTCCTTGTTTTGCTCCTACTCCCTTCTCACCCCTCACCCTGTAGTGAGTCTCTGGTTTATAGTTGCTTGTTGATTTTGACTTTTACTTTATTATAATTACTTTTTCCAGGTCCCTTATTTAGATTCTAAATTCCTGCTATGAGTGAGACCATCTGGTATTTTTCTCCTTTTTTCTGGCTTATTTCACTGAGCATGCTCCCTTCCAGCTCCATCCATGTTGCTGCAAATTGCATGAGTTTATCTTTTTGATTGCTGAGTAATAGTCCATTGCGTACATGTACCACATCTTCTCGATCCAGTCATCTATTTTGGGGCATTTGGGTTGTTTCCAAAGCTTAGCTATTGTAAATAGTGCTGCTATAAACATAGGGGTGCAGGTGCTCTTTGGAATTGATGTTTCTGTGTCCTTTGGGTAAATACCTAGGATACCTAGGAGTGGAATTGCTGGGTCATATGGAAGCTCTATCTTTAGTAGGTTGAGGAATCTCTACACAGCTCTCCATAGTGGTTGGACCAGTGCAAACCACCAGCAGTGCAGGAGAGTTCCTTTTTCTCCACATCCTCGCCAACATTTGTTGTTGCTAGTTTTTTCTAATATGTTCCATTCTCAGTGCGAGACTTTTTTTTTTTTTAAGATTTATTTATTTTTATTTATTGATTGATTTATACATACATGCATACAAGCACTGGGTACAGTCAGAAGCGCGGGAGGGTGAGAGAATTCACCAGAGCCAGAGCGGGGAGCAGAACAGGCAGAAGGACCGAAGCACACTGCTGAGGGGAGCAGCGGGCGGCAGGAGAGGTCTGCGCGCCATGTGGGACCCTCCTGCGGTGACGGGGAGCAGCCAGGGAACGAACCGGCGCTGCAGAGGCCGCTGCGCCACCGGGGAGGCCCATCAGTGCGAGACTTTTTAAAACAGCTTGCTTTTTAAATTATTGGCCACAAGACTGAAGTTTAAAAAAAATCACATTCTCCCAGGTGTATGCTGGCAAATGGTTATTTTGTTCCTGCCATCCTCAGCTTTCCTACCAGAATACAATAAGGTGTGAAATCACCCAATAAAGGTACTAAGGATTCCCTTTGATGAGGCAGAGTGATAACCCCGAAGTTGTCCCCAACTAGCATGTCAGTTATTCCTCACTGCCTGGCCCCAGACACTAGATGCTTGAAAGTTGTATTTGACAAGGTTCTCCTCTCAATCCACTAAAGAGAGAAATTAGGGCTGCCCTGGTGGCACAAGGGGTTAAGTCTCAGCACTATGAAACTATAGGCAGCCACTGCATCACTATCATCAGTTCAATTCCTGGTCAGGGAGCTGACCCACATGGCAAAACAGACCTCTCCTGTCTCCCCGCTGCTCCCCTCAGCAGTGTATTTCAGTCCATCCAGCTGTTCTGATCCCCACTCCGTCTCTGGTGAGTCCTCTCACCACCACCCTCTCCGCAACACTGGTCTGCACCCTAGCCCTTGTATACATAAATAATAAATAAATCTTTATAAAAGAGAGAGAAAAATTAGCATTGTTTAATTCAATCCAATCACTGAAAAGCTTCTTTACCAGCGTAACAATAGACTAACAATAGCTAACATTTATCGAGTGCCAGCTGGCCAACTCTTTTATGTGTATTACCTCCTGTGTAATCCTTAGCACCCTCCTCAATAGCTATGGTCAAGTGAAGACTGCAATAAAGGTACCTGCTGACTTCACATCAGCTATTTCTCAGACTCCTGCAACAAAAAACAACAAAAAGCATGCAACAAAAGCAGCTGTCCTGTGAACGCTGCACGTAACACAGCATCTTCTTTTAAACCAGCCCCCAACTTCTTTTAAATAACCCCTCTGGGCTCAGAACTTCTGCTATAGTGACTTAATGTTAGCAGCCAGCTACCACTCTTTTTAATTAAAAACAGGTCATCCGTGAGCCAGGCACTATGCCTAACATTTGCTGGGATCCTAGCTCACCGAACATCTCTAATGAATTACAACTTACCGGCCTAAATGTAAGATTGTGAACTACTGGAGAGCAAGGACCTCCCTGTCTTACTAAGTGCCCACGGGTGCCTGGTCCAGAGCAGTCTTCAACAAATGTGTGAGAAATAGAGAGTTGGAAAAGCAAGTAAACAGCCTCCCTGTTTGTTTCATTTGGACAAGTGCCTTGGTTTTACGGAAGAGCGTCCAGGGAACACAACTCTTAATTTGTCAAACATCTTCAGGCAGGAGACCTAGTTCTACTACTGATTCTGTTGCTGGCTGGCTGCCATCAGAATCATGGTTACTGGTTATTTTGATGTATTGGGGGCTGTTGAATGCTTCCCCTGGGATATTACAAAGGCAAAGAGAAGAGCAACTGTATTTTGTGCTTGGGCTTACTGCAACGAAATGTGCTGCACGGCTGCCCTGCCTCGTTACCAGGTGTATATGACCTGATCTCAGGCTCGCTCTGTCCATCTTGCTCCACCCTCATCTATCAGGTCTGAAAGCACCTCAGGGCCTTTGCACATGCGGCTGCAATTGTCTGCAATGTCCCTCTTCTTCCTGTTTGCCTAGTTAGTAACTACTCATCTTTCAGCTCTTAGTTCAGATGTCATTTCCTCAGGGGAGCCTCCCTGGAACGCTCCAACTTGACCTACGCCCCTATTCTATGCTATCACAGTGACTTGTGACTTTATTTCATAGAACTTACCGGTTTTTCATCATGTTTGGGATTATTTGATTAAGATCTGTCTTCCCACTAGACTGTAAACAGGAAGTGAGTTTGCTTTGGTCACTGGGGTGTCTCCTGGGCCAGCAAAGCAGTACTTACCGTGCGCTCCAATCATTTTGTTCTTTTTGGATTAGATTTCCTAAGCAGGCATTTGGCTGAAAACCAGAAACCATCCTTCACAAACCCAACCAATGTGCCTTCTTCATCTGCTACACCACTCTCAGAGACCATTCTGCTTTGTGATCTACCTTGCAGGCTGCAGTCCTGACTACTGCCTGGTTTCCTAATCCCACCTTATTCACTCTGTGTTCTGTGATGTATGAAGCAGTGACTGATATCATTCTGTTTAAGGCTTTGAATCACAAACTTTCCTGAAAGGGGGACCCGAACAAAATCCTCATCAAATGGTTGAAGAGAATCGAACCAAACCACCCACGGTTGAGGCATCTAATATGAGGAAGGAAACCCTCATGCGGGAGCCCCAGCAGGTTTAGGACCGGTGGCCCTACACAAAGTTTCAGCCTCGTCCACATTCCTGAAAGGAGCCAACCTTACCTCATACAGCCTCTCAGTTGCACACATTCCATTAGCACCTTTTCAATAAAACAGTTTTTAGTGTTTATGTATTACCCTGATCAGAATTTCTTTCTTTGGGGGTATTTCTAGTTCTGTTTAAAAGATCTGTTTACAGGGCCTCCCCTGGTGGCGCAGGCGGTTGAGCGCCATGCTGTGAAGCTGTCCGCAGCCTCTGCAGTGCCCGTTCGATCCCGGCCGGCTGGCAAGGGTCCCATATAGCACAGCAGACCTCTCCTGTCTTGCCCGCTGCTCCCCTCAGCAATGTATTTCATCAGTCTGCCTGTTCTGTTCCCTGCTCTGTCTCTGGTGAATCCTCTCACCCTCCCACGCATCTGGCCTGTACCCCAGTTCTTCCATAAATAAATAAATAAATCTTTAAAAAAAAAAAATCTGTTCACAAATTCTAAAAATAATCTTTTATCAGTCTCTTCTGATGGCTGAGATAATTTCTGCAAGGCAAATTGCACAATTCACTTGTCTTAAGAGCAAAGAATGATGATGAAATATAAACGCTGAAATATAGTTTTATCGTGCAACTATTTAAACACACACACACCCCAAAAACAAAAGCAAAGGAAAAAATCAAACACTGACACTGCCTCTCTTTAACAGAAATTCCGGACTTATTTAAATAACAAGTTGATAGTATTAAGATTTGCCACTTTAGAGCCTCCCTGGTGGCGCAGCGGGTTGAGTGCAGCGCTATGAAGCTGTCTGTAGCCTTTGTAGCGCTGGTACAAGGCTGGCCAGGGAGATTCCCACATGGCACAGCAGACCTCTCCTGTCTCGCCTGCTGCTCCCCTCAGCAGTGTATTTCAGTCAGTCTGCCTGTTCTGTTCCCCGCTCTGTCTCTGATGAATCCTCTCACCCTCCCGTGCCACTGGCCTGTACCCCAGCTCTTGTATAAATAAATAAATCTTTAAAAAAAAAAAGATTTCCCACTTTAACTAGAGTTGGTAAAATTCACAATAATGCGAT